TTAAAAACTAGGGAATCTTGTAAGCCCTAGTGACAACTTCTTTTCACGCAAGCCAACCCTCCAATTCACTTCCAGGAACACTGTAGGGTTAGAATGGATCCACTTCGAAGATCCAAAGGACCTGAAACGCATGAACATGCATCACCGATTTCCCTCATTGCATGAATTTTATATTTCTGTTTTCTTTGAGTTTTAACGTGTGTTAACCTTGCTAATGCATTTATGAGGTTCAACAATGCAGGAAAAACCCAACACGCGTGAACACCGTGCTACCGGAACCATGAATTGTCATGCTTACAGTGATCCAAATTATTTTTGTCACACCTCACAAACCAGCACGAATCAGCCAAAAACAATGGTTCCATTAAACTCACAGGGCTTGATTTAGGGGGTAGGGTCCCTTTGGATCGCTAACCATTGTTGTTTTTGCATGTTGAAAAAAAGAGTCACCGGAGAAGACGACCGAAGCTAGGGCTCTGGCGCTTCTCCAGTCCATGCAATATTGTTTATTTTATATTTAAATCGTTTTAGGAATATTACCGGATGTACAACCACCCCAGTGGAACGGACGCGCGTGTTAAGGCATTACTATACTAGGGTGTGGGTTCGATCCCTTCCTTTTGAGGTTTTGGGAATTTCTTTCATATTTTCATATTTTTTGCAGGTTTTAACATGTAAGCACATGGTTCCCATTCCCTAACGCGAGCGTGCGCTTGGCGCAGTGGTGAACCGGCTGGGCAGGAAAGCTAAGGGTGTGGGTTCAACACCCACCCCTGGCATTTTTTTTTGTTTCTAACCTATTTGTATTAATTTCTTCCATTGGAACTTTTTCAAAATATTTTCACACACACACAAAGCAATTTTGAAAAAGTGAGCTAAGCGATTAAGAGTCCGTAGATAAATACGGATGAAAAGAGTGCTAACACTTTCCCTTTTCATAACCTACCCCCTGAACTCAAACTTATCAAGGTCTTTCCTGTTATTTTCACCCTTTCCTTATTTGATAAAAGAAAAGTCAGTGGCGACACTTGCTATCCGCAACATTTGCGATAAAACACAAAACCAAATCAGATCTCCCACTGTATTACAAAATGGCGACTCCGCTGGGGAGATACTTAAAGAGGGTTTACTTTTGGGTTAGATCACTTTTCATTTGCTTGTTTGCTTTGTTTTCTTTACATTTGTGGGTTGCTCGGGTTTACTTTCTTGCAAAGATCCTACACCCGAATCTAGGTACCTTAGGTAAGTAGTAATAGATCATGGAAATTGTACAACATAGAACGATATAGTTGAAGTGATGTCTATGTTAGTGTGACACATTGGTTTGAACTGGTGTTCCTTGAGTCAGTCGAGGATAACACTGGGCTTTCTCATGGTGTCATAAGCACTAACTGACTTTTAGAACCTTAATTGACCCAACTTTGCCATTAGAAGGTAGTGAGATAGCCGACTTTGGTGCAGTCCAGAGTTGGTTGATAGTCGATGATACACTCATTGAGGTTAGACTTTCGGGATATTTCGGTGGCAAGTCAGTTGCTATGCTGAAATAAAACCTGCGAGAAAGATCGATGATATGAGACTCCTAGAACCTGGTTACTTTTTTAGGACATGTTGAGCCAACTAAACTTCTATAGAAAATGGTACTTACCTACGGACCTCATGAGAGCCTTTAAACCTAAGGCTCTTGTATGCTTTGCTTGTGTTTGCTACTTGTTCAAACATGACATCATGACATTATAACATCACATTTTCACTGACCATTTCAAGGATCTCAGGGACCTGTGATGCATGTTTATCATGAACCAGATTGTTAGCAATGGGCAAGGGGGTTTATTTTCCTCTAACCAAATTTTGTCAAAGACCGAAGTACTTTCACTTGAGTCAAAGGCTAGGACCCACTTGACATGGTGAGCTTGAATCTCATGGAAGGACGTTCAAAGACGTAAAGTTCTTCAGTCAAAGTTGTAGCCAGACTCAACTTCTAACATTTCATTTTTTTATCCCGCGAGTTCCTTGAAAACATTGCATCTACATATCATGCATGTCATTACATAACAGGTATTTCCCAAGACAGGTTTTATCATCTTATTGATGTTTATTTTAGTAAAATATGGCTCTTGAACAAACTGTGAAAGATCATCAAGCTCAAAATGCTAAATTCCAAGAGACGTTCCTGAACTTAGCCAATGTGCAGAAAGAGCTGATGACGCTCATCGCCAAGAAGAAAAAGACTCAGAAACCGGTTAGTATCTTCAACATGGGGAGAAGATTCAAAGTTCTCGTCAAATAGGTTCATGATTTTTACATCCCGTCAGATGAAGATAACAATCAAGAGGAAGACAATAAAAGTATAAAAGCTGAAGGGGGAAGCAACTTTGGTTCCGACAAAATTTCTGAAGAAGAAGACTATTCTGATGAGCAATATCCTTCTGCTGATGAGAGATACAAATAGCTGGAAGATTGTTTGAATGCCATGGAGATCCAGAGGGTTCCTGTATTGGATTTTGAAGAGCTAGGATTAGTCTCGAGGGTTGTTATCCCTCACAAATTCAAAATCCCTACTTTTTCAAAATATGACAGTGTTTCCTGTCCTAAATTTCATTTAAGGTCTTATGTTTGGAAGATCCAACCTCATACTACTGATAGGAAGCTATGGGTACACTTATTTCAAGAGAGCTTGTCGGGGACACAATTAGAATGGTTATATCAACTAGAAGGAACCAACATTCGTACTTGGGAAGATTTGGTTGCTTCCTTCTACAAACAATACCAATACAATGCTGATCTTGCACCAACTCGTGTGCAATTACAAAGTATGACTATGGGCTTGAATGAAGGATTTAAAGAGTATTCCCAGAAGTGGAGGGATCTAGATGGAAGAGTGAAGCCTCCTTTGTCTGATAGGGAGCTGGTTGATATGTTCATGGGAACTCTGACAGGTCCTTTCTTCAATCATTTGATTGTAAGCTCTTCATCTGGTTTCATCGAGCTGATATTAACAGGGGAATATGTTGAAGGTGGAATCCAAAGTGGAAAAATTAAAGTGGTTGTATCTTCAAGTGCTGTGAAGAAGATGTTTAACGGGAAAAAAGAAGTTAATGCTGTATATGGCTAGAAGGGTCGTTCTAGAGGCGACTGTAACCAGTTTGTAAGAGTTGTGATAATTTCTAATTCGGCGCTTGTGCAACAACATCAATAAAATAATAAGCGTAGGTCAGATTCACCTAGAAGACAGTTTACCAAGATTAACATGCCATTGTCTCAGGCATTGTAACATCCTTTGAAAGAAGAGCTGATAATGTTAAGGGATCCTCCTTAGAATCCCAACACCTCCTCCCCTTGGTACAATCCAAATGTAATATGTGCCTACCATTCCAATAGTCCCGGACACGACACCAATAGTTACTGGGCCTTGAAGAATAAAATTCAAGACATGATTGACAATAAAGAAATTGAGTTTGATCCTCCCGAGACCCCAATGTAATTACTGCACCTATGCCTAAGCATGACAAAGGCATTAATGCAATTTATGATGTTCCATATGTTTCTACTGTAAGTGAATTGACCACTCCCCTCCTAATTGTTAAGAAGAATCTGTTGCAAGTAGGTTTATTTTTGACTTGTATTGAAAGGTGTTACTGTTGGGTAGCTCAACCCAATGGCTGCAAATTGATGAAAGAAGGTATTCAGCGTCTGATGGACAACCACGTAATTCTAGTTGAGAAGATTCCTACTGTTGAGAATTTATTTCAAGACTTAGAACTTGAAGAGGTATCTATAATTTTCGGCACTCCTATCAGGATCACCTCCAAGGTGTAATACCCCAAATTTGTCTTACCCTTTCACTTTTATCTGAATTATGCATCTCGCACTTTCCTCATGTAGATAATTTCCGTTAGGTCATTTTACACGTCATGCATCATTGGTCAATAATTTGGCATATAATTGAGGATATTGAGGAGTTAGGTTTTCTTTGTGATTTTAGGCTCTAATCCTCATGCAAGCTTGGATCAACATGGTTCTTCATCAATCAGGATTTGAGGGATTAGAGTTTGTGTTTATGGTCATTGGGAATTTCTTCTTTTATCAAGATACTCATTTTCATCAAAGACAAAGCAACCTTTTCAAGTTACTTCAGTAAGAAAACATATTAGGGTTGCGAGTTGTTACGTTTTACACTTCATCATGGTTGAATTTTCTAAATTCAATTGAATATTCATTGTGCTCCAGACATTGTTTTTTCTAAATACTTGGTGTTTGACATACAAGTTTAATATGAATTAGAAGATGGAAGTGAGTTAATGATTCATTGAAGATGCAAGTGGATTTTGTGTAAGAATTAAATTTCAAAAGGGTTATGTCATTACTTGGATTGCAAGCTATTATGCTAAGAAGGGAATAGGACTGAATCAAGTTTCTATGGATAAAGAATTTACTTATAAGGGAATCATGATTATGCCTGGAATTTACATCATTAAAGGAGTATTCAAAGTTACATTCCATGGAAAATATAAAAGACAATACTTCGAGCGCTTGAGAAAATTGATATTGAATTCAAGAGATTCCAAAGGATCTACAAGAATATCATACTCCTAATTTCATCACACTACCATACTATTAGCAAAGTTCAATTTGAAAAAAAGAAAGAAAAATGTGAAGCTTCTCCATTAGAATCAAAATCCCACACAAGAGTTTCATTCGAAAGATACATGTCCAGTGTGCTATTACAAAATTAGTGTGCTATTACAAAAGGAACACCATATTTCAAAGTGTTTAGCTTAAGGCCCTAAGGGTGTTAAAGTATAAGTTCGTGAGCCTATTGCCCATAAGTCTTGTTCTTCGTCAACAAATGTTTCGCGTGCTTCCCCTCCGTGTTTTCTCCAAACTACGCTATATCCTTATGTCTCCATCCAATTTCAACAAGCTATTCCCATACCACCTGGATTCATACCTACATGTCATCAAGTTTCAAGATTTTAATATTAGTGTAGGAAAAGTCCTTAAGGGTCATACATAACAATCAACATGCACCAAAATTTTATGGCTATAATAAGATTATAAAAATCAGTTGATTCCAATTTATAAGCTAATGCACTAGCACCTAGACAATTAAGCATGGTATATCCAATGTCAGTGCACAGGAGGTCGAAGCAACTTCGAACTAAAAGCCATATCAGTACATAGGAAGACATCTCGCAACCCTGCACACAAAACCATCCAAATCAGACCAATACACAAAGAACTGAAAAATCAAAGCAGGGTAAGTCATTTCCTGCACAAGCCAACACCTACTAGCTCACATATACTCTGTGTTTTTATCACGCACCCACGCACAATATGGATTCAAGGCGGGTCCAGAGATGAAGAAATTTTGAAGGGTTAACAAGTGCTAAACTTGGTTTAAAAATGATTCATCATCACAAAAATTTCTTCGCTTATACATGAAAAGAATCAATCCAACTTTACCCACATATCCAAAGACAAATCCAAATCTGAACATAATATTCAAATGTTGCAAAGCTAAAATGGTTACCTGTTGCAAAAAAAATCCCAAGCTCGATTTTAAAGCAGACAAAGGCATCAAAGCATACGCCCGTTAGCACAAGACATGTCCAAGTTTTAAGAAGTATCCCAAAACAGTTCGGGAGACAGAAAAACCAATCCAATTCACAAGCCACTACATTATCAAACAGATGAAATAAAGCCAATTCACCAAGAGTATATGACTAGTTTCTAACAAGAATATTCTAACTATTTTTAAACAGAACTAACAAATAGCCAACTGACATTGCTACTATCTTAAGTCAGAAATCCCACTGCTATAAGCCTCAAAAAGAGCTTTTCTATACCTTGCTTGTTACAAGCTTTGCCGCAAAATTAGTCATAGCAAGCCGTGGGAAAACTGTGACCTTGCTATAGAAGATGAAAATGGAAAGAGAATAAGTCAGAAAAAAGTGCAGTTAAACAAAAACAGAATCATTACTTCATAACAGTTTCCAACTAACTTCTAAATTCCTAATCACCTATAACAGAAAACATCATGTAACAAATTCTAACAATCATATAACTGTCATTTAACCAACCTAACCAAAACAGAATTTCAGCTCCCTAACTAACCTATAACAGAATTCTAACTATCCTAACAAACTAACATAATCCTAACAACCTCTCAAGAGAAAAACAGAAGCATAACAAGCCCTAACATCTAACTAACTCAAATCCACTCTAACTAACTTCTGACTCTACTTAACTGTCACCTAACTGATTGAAATCTCACTGTTAATCTCATAACTGAATCCTATAATCCTAAGGCTCAGATTGATTGATCCACAACCGATTCTCAATCTCTATCAACTATATAACCTCTTCAGCACCTTCAATTTCGAGGACCTTCATCTTCACCACATGCTCAACCTCAAACTCTTTCTGATTCTCTCTTTATGACCTTGCTTGCAATATGCTATCTCTCACCTTCTTCACCATCCTCTCTCTATAATAAATCTCATAACCTTATTCTCAAACCTCCATAACCATACATCCCTCTTCCATAATCGAATTCCATCATCTTCATCTCCAACACACTTGCATACGAAGTATTCACAACATCACTACCGTAATAAAAACACAAAAATTCAAAAGAAAAGAAGAAGAGTTTTAGAAGTAAAAAGAGAAGAAGAAGCATAGGAAGTGAAAACGAGCGTTTACATGAAGATTATCCTCTGGTCTTATTGCGCTATTGGCGCTGTTGAAAAGCCGTCGGAGCTACTCCGACAGGTAAGCTCCAATCATCTTCATTCTTTCGCTCCTCCACTCTTTTTTTCATGTGATAGTGTAGATTGAACATAATGGAGTAGAATCCCTAAGGTGTCGAAGATCAATTGAGCGTAGGGATCATCTGATGTAGATTTTAGTTTTCTAGTTTTCTTGTTCTTGATATGAGGCAGAGATGTTAAAATCAAAGGGAAGGAGGAGAATGGTAGGGGTGAGTTGCAAAAGGACGATGCCACTGTGTTTTTGATTGGAGCTGATCGTGTCGGAAGGCTCTAGATTGTCGTTGTTCGTATTCGAGAAGGAGGGGAGAAAGGGTGAACAAAGAAGAGGAGGTCTCGAAGAATTTGAAGAGTCATAACCTAACTCCTATCCAAACGACACCGTTCTGCTTATGATTTGGTTATTTTGCATATTCTTTTATTATTAATGGATAAGAGAGAATAAAACTGAGGAAGGTTTGGGCTAAATTGGTGTTGAAGAAATTTCGTTGGGCTTGTTCTTGAATTGTTGGTTTGGCCTGTTTCTACTTTGTTTTTAAGTCATGTTAGCTTAGAAAAAAATGCTGATGGATTAGTTTTTGGGCCTAGCGCCTGATTCCTACAATGCACCCTCCTGAAATTCAATTCTCACTTCCCGTTTCTCTTACCTTCCTTTTATATATTTTTTTAATTCTTTCTTTCATGATCTTTTTTTAATAACAAAAATACATAATAAAATGGTAAAAAATATTATAATACATTTTAGGAATTAAATAGGAATTAATTTACCCCTTTGCTAACTTTTTAGTCAATTTTAACTACTAGTTTTACTCATTTTATGCCATGTATTTCATTTGCGATTTTTGGTATGGATTGTATGCAATACTTTAATACTTGCTGCCTCATTTTGCTTGTTTGTATAGTCTTTCATGATCCCTTAGGTGATTTTGGTTCAAATTCAATCTTCGATTTAATTAAACTAAAATTAGACATTAGGCTTCTAAGTCCAAGCATGCAAACATTAAGTAGAATTCTCTCAAAATCCTAACTTTAGGTCCAATGATGCATGATAACATTAGGTTTAGAAATAGGCTAGTCCCCCTTTGACCTTTTTCCCCCCCTTTTGCATTTGCATCAAAACAAAAGCTTCTTTTTCCTTCCAAACTTCAAAACACTTAAAAATCACTGATGAGAATCATACTTTTATTGAGTATGGGAAATGATAAGCGAGTCTCTTCTCGATCTTATTGTTCTTCCATGTCAAGTCTAGGTGTGGTTCGAGTCTCAAAGACTCCCTTCATGGATAAGTAGAAAAGTGGCTAATATCTCTCTCTTGAGGTCAACTAGTCATTATCTGCAACAAAAATACAAACCAACTCAAACTTTTTTGTACGCTTAAGCACCATTTCTCGAAACCCTTTTCAGGTAAGGACATGATTAGTTTACTTATGTGCTAATGCACAAGTCTCCAGAGATCAAGTTGTGGCAGAAGGTGGAATTAACATTGTCCATAAAAAACACAAAACAAACAAAAACATGTGATCCGAACTACAGTAGCTCAGATACCTCAAAAAGGATACGTAGGCATTAGGGTAGGGCCCAAGCGAGTACAAATTTATTTTACCTACATTCTTTTCTCCTTTCTTTTGCGTGCATTTCTTCAGTAGTAAACAGTAAGCATAGATTAAAACACACCCATAAGATAGATAACAAGAGTGGATACTGTAGAGTACTACGGGCGTGTGGGGTGATAATACCTTCCCCTCGTGTAACAGACTCCCTTACCCGATCTCTCGGTCACAAGACCGTGACTTCTCCCTTATCCGATTTTTTCGATGTTTACCTTTTCCTTCATGTGGGATAAAAGACGTTTGATGGCGACTTCATTGTTTGATGATTTTCAGCCGGTTGTTTCACAAGGGTCTTGTAAATATTAATGCCCAACCTAGAGTTGCTTCTCTAATAATAACCACACTCGGACCAATTCCATATTCCTCGAACAAAGCTATCCCTTGGAACTATGGAGCCGGCGTCTACTATCATGGCGTCAAGCAAGAACTATTGACTACTGAAAATGAAGGTACTGAAGCTACTGATCCCACTGTTGACAATATTTCTGGGACCAGTAAAGTTACAAGAAGCAGAAAGGTTTTATCTCTAGAAATATCTTCGAAGAGCGTCGCCACACCAGTTCGTGTTACTGCTACCGAGTCAATCACCGAGACTCAGAGAAAAGAACAAATGATGGAGCCTGCTCAGAAGGAGGCACCTAAAGAAGTTACCACTAAAGATACCTCCAAGCAAGAGTTAGAGGAGGTATTAAAAAATATCTGAAAAAGTGATTACAAGATCATTGAATAGCTGGGACAGACTCTCTCCTAGATCTCCATGTTATCGCTGTTATTATGCTCAGAGGCCCATGCTCGGGCTTTAGTGAAGTTCTTAAAGTATGCTCACGTTCCACAAGAAATTTTTGCCGACCAATTTGAAAATTATGTTGCTAGCCTAACCACTAATAATGGGATAGGATTTTCCGATGCTGATTTGACTCCTGAAGGAAGAAACAACAACAAGGCCCTATATGTCTCTATTGAATGCAGGGGGAACTACTTTAGCTCATGTGTTGGTTGATACGGGTTCCTCTCTAAATGTTCTACCGAAGGGTGCTCTCGACAGGCTTGACTATGAAGGGGTGGTGCTGAAACTTAGTGATATTGTAGTCCAAGCCTTTGAAGGTTCAAAGAGGATGGTGCATGGAGAGGTGAATCTTCCAATCAGAGTAGGTTTGCAAGTATTCAAATCTACCTTCTATGTAATGGATATTTGATCGGCCTATTCTTGTTTACTTGGATGCCCTTGGATTCACGGGGCAGGCGCTGTTACTTCAACCCTACACCAAAAGCCGAAGTATCATGTGAAAGGAAAGGTTGTTACAGTTTACGGTGAAGAAGAGTATATGGTGAGTCACTTAAAATCATTCAAGTATGTTGATATGGACGATGAATTCATCGAACCTCCCTGCCAGACTTTTGAAGTTATCCCTCGGCCAACTACCGCTACTAAAGACGTTTATTCTATTCCCAAGGTTACCAGGGTTTCGCCCAGAATGGCTTCTTTGAAGGATGCTAGAGTTGTTGTAGAAGAAGGTGGTTGCACTACTTGGGGTCAGCTTCCTGACATTCCTTACAAGTCTTACAAATTTGGTTTGGGTTTCACAGTAGAGGCTCAGGGGGCTATGCGTCGTGCTTGTGCTGGAATACCACCATTCCGCGTCAACAACAATGGAGTCAATGCGGTAGAAGATGTTGATATTGACTACGACCTAGACAGCTGGATCTTTCCTACCACCGGAAATGGGATCAACAACTGGAAGACTGAAGACCTTATCTCAAACTCCTTTAGTCAGGAGTAAATGCTATTTTCTGTTTCTTTTTGTTTTCAAGTTTTGGCTATGTAATTTTTAAACAATGACTTTAAGCCTTGTGTCTTACCCGGGGCACAACGATCCATTTGTTAAGGGTTGTTACTTCATAAGCATATTTTCATTTAATAAATCATTAGATGTTTTGTATTCAAATTTTGTGCTCTTTGTCTTTCTTTTATTTTATCATTTTGAAAATAGCTATGTGTTCTTACACACACCTACACAACAAATTGCAGATCCACATCCACTCTGGATCCCGTTGATAACAATTATGATATTGCCACTTATGACTTTGAAAATACGATCTACCAAGCCGAGGACGAAGGTGAGGAAGATTATGAAATACCTGGAGAACTTTCCATAATGTTAGTGCAATAGGAAAGGCTACACAACCGCATGAAAAGCCAG